TGTGTTCCTAACACAATGCCTTAATTTTGGGATGCCCATCTTTCTGGCACTTCCGGGTAAGCTGGTGACAGGGTGCCAGGTAGCTGGGCTTACTAAATTTCAGCCAACTTCTGGTGTTGGTAGCAATGGAGTCCTATGCGTTTCACCAGTTCTTCACTGAGCTCCTGGCTGGTGAACTACTTTTTGAAAGGACATCTGAGGTAAACAGACTGCTACCACAGATATGTAATATTGCAAAGAAACTATTGTCAGATGGATCTTGACTGATAGCACGTGAGAGGGACCTGAAGAAAAGGGGCCAAAAAGAAGATAGGTATGGTGGTGTGTGGTCATGATACACTGACTCCTGGAGTGATATTTTGACAGTATTCACACTCTCAGATGATTGCTAGAGCAACTTTTTTTAAATTTTGACATATTTGTTTCTTCACATTGACAGTGGTCCTTGTGCATACACAATTCACCATTTCCCCCTTGCTGAAACTGGACAGCTTGCATCTCATCTGATCATATATCAGGTGAGATAATAACATGTTAATTTGAGCTGACAATGGACAAACAGGGAACAGAACTAAGTATCCTTCTGAGCTTGTGAAAATTGCTTCCTTTTGCAGGTGTCCCAACTTCCTTCTGTGTTGACTGCAGTAGTTTTTACAGAGATTGTGAGATATTATATATAGTGGGCACAACTTGCACGAACGATACCTCATACTTATTCCCTAAGCTCAGTGATATTGCAGGGTCAGCCACCCTTTATGGCTTCGTTTTGTTCTTTCTCAAGTGAATACCAACACTTATGATTATGTAGATCAAGAAGTGTGCAAAGTCTCTCCAATCTGCAAATGATTTAGCATCTTGCAGCTGGCCAAGTGAATGTCTGGTCGATGAAATGAGAAAGCATGTTTCCCATTCTCGAGTCACACTGTTGAGCCATGAGACCTCACCATGGATGTATATACATCTCTGGACAGTTCATCCTGCAATGACCATGGCTATTCATCAGTCATTTAATCATTTGTGTGCCGTATCTTGGAATCCTTTCTTGAGGACTTTCACCGAAGGAGCTGGAACTTGTTGATGTATGCAAAGTGAGAATCTTTCCTGAGCTCGAGTATGTGGGAGTGTTTCAGTTTGTCTAGTCCTTTGAACAACCTTGAGAATTCTAGGATAGTTTTTACCTTTGCAGCTTGAGCTTTGATCTGACTCAGCTGCAGGCCTAAATCTTTGTTTGCCTTAAAACAGCAGTCATTCAAAATCATTCACTGTATAAAAATCTTCTCATGTAGATGTAGACTTTTACCACTGGTGTTCACTCAGCATTTTAATGGGATACAGGGGCCTCTTAAATGCAAACAGTTTTCTGTCAGCACGGTGAGGGTATAGGCCCTCAGGAAAGCCTGTGACCTCAGCTCCTAGGCTGTCCTGAAGTAGACAGAGATGCTGTGGAGTGTAATGTTCATATCCAGCAGCTTGACTAAGTTCCAAACACATTTTAAAATATGTCCTAGAAAGGCATTTGAAGTGTTATTAGCAGTCATTAGCACGCATATGCTAGATTTACATGAGGGCATAATAACCCTTAGGAATTCCAAAACATCTGGCAAATGGGATCAAGAATGTAATTTCGGCTGTTTTTGCCTCATCCACTGTGATGTGGTTCCTCTGAGTCTGCATGTGAGGTTTGTTGTGGGTCTGGGACAGTGATAGCTGCTTCTAAATGGCAAGCGCTGGGCTATGAGCGGTTTTGCTGTCAGATCACCAGGACTTCAAATATCCCTTATAGCATCTCAATGCGCTCAGTTTATCTAGTTACTTTAATTACTTCATAATGTCACAGCAATATCAAGCCTCTGTCTTGCATTAGTCTCCATGTTCCAAATGATGGAATCCAAAACTGTTTCATTTTGAAACCTGCTGGTAAAAATCATTGTGTTGTGATCAGGTAAAAAGGGTCACATCTTTAACAGATTCACCCTTCTCTTGAAATAGCATCTGTATCTGCCTGTTAACTTAGATTTTGAGTGAGGGGTAAAATAATCAATAACGTTAAAATATTAGTTTTCGATGAGTTTGTTTCTTCAACCATTAGGTTAAAGGACAGCATGGTGTCTTCAGCCCAAGACCAAGATCAGGTAAGATGGAGGAGGCAGGGCTTTCTCTGGCTTCTTCCCCTATGTCTGATGCATGTCAAGATTTTGTTTTCCACAGAGTAGCTGTCAGCATCAGCCTTCCAAGGGAAAGGCTCCAAAGCTGCATCACAGATAGGAGCACCAACACCTGTGGCTATCACTTATGCCCAGGTCGCATTACAGATTATATTGTCATTGTCCTCAGTATCATATTGTATTGCCAAAATACGATATTTTGATCATTTAGCAAAGCCTCCTATGACTGTGACTGTAGCTGGAGTGCATATAAATTGCACAACACCACACAGTTCATGTCAAAACAATAAATAAAAACTATTTTAAGAGCTCCATTCATCATCCAACAATGCCTACCTAACAAACAAATGGTCCATGTGTAACCCAAAATGGTTCTGAAACATTTAAGAGCTTGATGAGCAGAATGCTATTGATGGAACCTGGAAGGCTTCGGTTGATCAGACTGTAAAATGGCTGAGCAGGGAAAGAAATCATACTTTAGGAAGTGCGAGAAAGATTGGGTATCAGGGGATATGATCTCTTTGCTAAACAGCTGTTTCATAAATGTTCTGATCTTAGGTATCTTTTTTCATTTTACTATTATCATGTGTGGAAAGCACTTGAAATATTCACAGAAACCATGTTAGATGCTACAGTCATTAGCCTGAGATTCTCCCATTACTTTACATCAGAACTCGGTCACTCTTCTCAAAAATAAAGACATTTGATGCCAGAATTTACGCTGAGATTAAGCTCACACATATTGGGCTCAGATAATTACACAATGATTACATACTTGAATGGACATTTTTGTTTTGCATTCTTACCATACTTGAATTAATTTCTTTGGAAAAAAATCAGTGTTATTTTAATGTATTTCTAGGTACCTTTTTTCTAATACCATCAATGGTATTATGAAACTAGGGTTCAATTTTAACATCAAAATTTAGGTGAGTTGCAAGGAAAATTTCTGGAAAGTATGAATAACCTCCATCAACGCCCAGTCCACATTTCAGACAGATTAATGAGCAGCTGCATTTGACTTGGTGGATCAGAGAATACTAAACCATAACAAACCAGGAAAATATCTCATGGAGCATATTAGATAATATTGGAAATATTAGAAAATATGAAGTTTATGTTATTAACCTCTCCTGAGCTTCAGGAAATCTGTTGCATCCTTTCTTCACTTAATCAGCTACTTTAACTTTGCCTTTTGGTAATGAGTTGTATTTTGAAGTTAAAATGGCAACAAGAATTAAAAGTAATCAAAAAGCTGGTATACTAATTTCTTTTTCAAAGCCAGCACCAAAAATCTGCATTCTACTTTTCTTTTTCACATTTCACTTTTTTGTATTAAGTTATCCATTTACCTTTTCGGCATCAGAAACATCCTGCCAACTGTAATATAAGACTTTGAGCAAATTACGCTGTTCTAAAAATAATACTTTTCACAACCTTCTCACTTCCTACTTGCAAAGTCCTAGAGAGTCTTACAGAATTAGCTAGAGTTTAGGGTGATTTATTCCAGCGTATGATAATCTGGATCATTCTTTTGCTACAACAGAAGGATGAAAGGAAATTTCCAGAAGAATCACTTACGATCACTCTACCAACATCATTCTTTTTGTATGCGTCCATGTGTCTGTTCCCTATATAGGAATATGCTAAAAGCATCCTGCTGCCTTAGTCCATCTACAGTTATATGTTACAGGCTAGAAAATTCCCTGTATCTTTACAGGGACTCTGGCCACCATGAATTGGGTTTCTGCGATCCAAAACTATCATTTCACCTATGAAGCCTTGGGGAGAAATGGAGGGAAAATTATGTACATGCTCCTGGACCACTGCACAGCTTGACTAGTTTCTGAGGAACAAGGTTTGCTGGGGAGGGATGGTGCACCGTGAAAGGGGTGCACAGACAAAGGACAACAGTCAATGGCAACAGAAAAAAAATCTTCGCCATGAGAGTAGCTAAGCACTACAACATGAGCCCACAAAGGCTCTGTAGTCTCCATCCTTGGAAACTGTCTATACTCAGACGGACAAGGCCCTGAGGAACTGGGTCCAACCAGGAAGTTAGCCCTGTTTTGAGCAGGAAGTTGGACTAGATTACTAGACATCCCTTCCAACTTAAACTATTCTATCGTTCTCTGATTGTATTCTCCTACAATAGACTATATGTGGCTTGGTAACTAGGTCCATCTTCCTATAAAGATTTCCTATCCGCACACGGACCTGATGTGATTCTGCAAACCTTTAAGACAGCGGTTTGCAATCTTTATCAGTTTGTGGATATGAAGATATTTCTGGTAACTTTACATCTCTTCGGAGGAAGTTTCTTTTATTTAGTTATTTTTCACAGATTCTCTAGTAGTAGTCCACTGATGCCTTTATCCACATCCGTCACACACCAAAAACCCTTGTTTTGATGGTTCTGATGAGAACAATGTTGGATGAGACCTGACTTTAACTATTTTGCGAAACTATCCTTTCTTAAGAAAGAAGCTTGCATCTAGTATTGTGTGCTCTCTTTCTCTCCATGCACAGACTCCTCTTGGTAAACAGCCTACAAATCAAAGAACATCACAGCTATCTTTTATGTAGAAAAGAGAGATCTTTTATCTCTCAAAATATTGTGAAAGAGGAAAAAGAAGCTACCTGGCATTTCTAGAAAGACATGTTACAACAAAGTTTTATCAGAGAGGTTTATCTTTTCTTCAATAGCAGCAGGGCTAGGCATTTACAGAGAGCAGTATGGAAAGAAAGCATGCGTTTCATAGAGGCAGTGAGTTTCAAAAATCTCTAGCTGATTCTAATCATCGTTTAAGAGAAAAGAGGAACCATATAAATTACCTGTTTCCATTTTCCCATCTTGTGCTGCAGGCCCATCAGGAATTACACTCTTCACCTGAAGAAACTCATCTGGCTCATCCCCACCAATGATGGTAAATCCAAAACCCATGTTGCTTTTCTTAAGAGTTGTGCTGAGGAAAGTCCCCTTCTGCTGTGC